CTTGATCATTTGGGGAGCTCTACATTGGGTTTTGGGTGCTTCCTGTTTGAATGGTGGGCCCTATATGTTAACCTGCTCTGACGCACTGGATCATTCGGGATTCCTCTGCATTGGGTCTTAAATACTTCCTTTTTGAACGGAGGGCCCTACGCTCTCTTTGCGAACTTTATCTGTTAGCCTGCTCGGGCGCAGTCGATCGTTCAGAGCCCTACACATTGTGTCGTGAGTATTTCTTTTTTGAATGGATGGTCTTTTGTTCTTGGCGGGCCCCATCTATTAAGCTGCTCGGGCCGGTGGCGAATGCAGAGGAAGGGGGGGGGGGGGAGGGGGAGGCACGAGACCATGTCCCATGGACCATGCCGAGGGAACCTAAGGCTCCGAGGAGCCCATAACTGGCCGGACGGACGCAGTTTTCTTACAACAAGATTGGAAGCCTCTGGGTCTACAGACGACCAATAACAATTGTTCGCAAAAGTGAAGAGTTCATAAGCAGACCAAGCTCATTTTTTGTTCATTGAGAAAGTGTTGTTTGGGGGAAATTTTGGGCCTCATTACACTGTCTAGGGTCATCGCGCTGTTGGTTTTCTGGCCCTATATGTCCACATTGCCGGGCCACTCTGATTGCCGCTAAGAAGTTTTCCACGTTGCCCTTGACGTCTGCATTTTCTCGCAAGGCCCAATGTGCTGTTGGGACGCTATCTGTCTCCATGCCTGAGCACCGTTGATCGATCAGGTTTTCCTCAACAGATTCTTCCCATGCGCCCGAAAGCCTCTTTACGCTTTTTCCAGGCCCCATATGCCAGGGTACACTCAGTTGCTCAGGGGCCCTTGATTTAAGTCTCCGGCTCACACGAAATATCTCGGGCTCATATAAAACACTGCCAGCCTACCGAGGCACTACCGGTCGTTCATGGGCCCACCACGTTGGTCTTGGGTTCTTTTTGCGTGCTCTGAGGACCCTATGCTTGTTGACGGGAGCCACTTTGCTGGCCTCCTACGGCATCCATGCTCGCTCAGGCTTCGTCCCTATTGGCCTTGGTGACTTGGCCTCAGAGCACCGGTCGAATATGTGTATTCGAGATCACATGACGGCTGGACCACCCCACACACACCGGCGAGGTTGCCGCACACAACGCCGACAGGGAGACTCCCCTCCCCCCTCCCCCCCCCCACGCGCCCGAGTAGCACCTCTTGTACTTCTTCCAAGGCTCATCCCCGCAACACGATCTGCGAGCGACTGTCCGGCGCCACCGTGACGCACCGCCCCGAGCCGCGATTATTCTCCTCACTCAGACATGAGTCATCGCCCCACTCGTCTTACATGCTCACACTGACCCGGGGCATGGTCCACCGCTACAATGTGCGCCGATGAATTTTTACGCGCAATTGCCGAACGTAATTTTACATGCCGCCAACGTCTTGTGTGTCATTTTCATCAGCTATTGAGTGCGTGGCACTTATTGTACTGGAGTATCACGTTCTTGGCATATTTCGAATGCTAGGATATGTTTGTACTCCTTTATAACAGGGAAAAAAATCTGCGCTTGTCATCAGCCATCAACTGATGGCTCGTGGTTGGTGCCATCAGTTGATGGCTGATATACACGTCGCCCCACCAGCTAGGCGTAAAACATAAGCTAGGAGTGAATTTCATGCTTGGTTTTGATGGTTGTTAGCAGCTACCTTGAATTTGTTTTGCCTGTTGTCCGGAGCATTTAGCCTCAAAATCACAGCATTTAACATGATCTGTAGAAAGTAAGTGAGTTCTATGTGTATGCATGTGTGGCACGCCTCGCTTTATAAGGCCGTGCGCAGTTAGATGGGTTTCCGTATTTATGAAATGAATGAATGAGTAGATACATGCGTGCATATACGTATATATATATATATATATATATATATATATATATATATATATATATCTTACATACGACTTGTCTCAAAATGTATTGACCGAATGCCAGGATATTTTTTGGAGGGGGGCTCCAACTCCATGGGCCCCCGCAATGTTGCGTGCCTCCCCCCTTGACGAAGTCCTGGATCCGCCCCGGTCCGTGACCAACTGGCCAACATTGCCGGTGATATCAGCCTGACGTGATCCGTGGAGCACAGGACGGGTCTGTCAGTAAAAACACTGCCAAAGTGTATGTTTAGAAGAACTGGAGGGATACATTCTGTACATTGTGTAAGTCTGCCGATTGTAACAGAGTCTTGTGGGGAGCGATCCAAGGCCTTCTCCCCTCAACGCACCTACAGTCAGCTTCGAGGGGAGAAGGGGCAATTACTTCCGGCTTAAGGTCAGGCAATGATTGTGTTATTTTTGTGAAATAAATTGACATGTATTTTTGGTGAAATACATTGACGTATTTTTTTTCACCACGACACAACACGCATTCAATTACGCTTGAACGTCAAGTGAGCCTCCCAACCGGCCCTTCTGCCAGACTCATCGGGCGCAGTGAGTCCTATGTGTGGTGTCCGTGACAACGGTGGCCTTGGCTCAGCTGACTTGTCGGCGGCCTGTGCGATACATGGCTGCAGAGCCGTCTGATCGTCTGATCTGATCTGATCTGCCTGATGGTAGCAACGGGGAGGGCAGTCCCGGGCTCCGCCGCCCGGCACGGCCTTGTAGTGTTGTGTGATGTTACCTCGTCCTGGAAAATCATGATTGGAAAAACCAGAACTCCAGCCAATGGGGAAACGTGCAATTTTTGGCAAATCATGCAGGAAAATCCCCGTATCTAAATGACATGATCTAACCGCGCACCGTGTAAGAATTCGAAGAATAGAACGAGCAAGTCAGGTTAAAAGAGTCACCGAGGAGAGAGTGGAAACTGAATGGAAGCCAATTCCCATTGATGTAGTTGATGAGCGGATGTCTTGATCGTTGACATAACAGGCACATGAGGAGGTAGTGATTTAAAAGGGATATCGGACGATGAAGAGATTTGTGAAAGGGACATCGCAACGAGGAAAGGATTTGTGGAGCTGGAGCTGCGGATCCTGGAGCGGGCAATGGGATAAAGGGATATCGCAACGAGGAAGGGATTTGTGGAGCTGGAGCTGTGGATCCTGGAGCGGGCAATGGGATAAAGGGATATCGCAACGATGGCAGAGCGGATGAGTGCGCTCGAAGAAGTAGCAGTAATAGTAGGTAGGTAGGAGGTAGTAGTAGGTAGTAGGTAGTAATAGGTAGGTAGGTAGGGGTAAGAAGTAGCAGTGGGGTAATTTGGACACGACCGATGCGAAGTCTGGCAAGCACGACTTGCTTAAGGTCATGTTCTCGATTAATTGTCGGCCAGTAACTTTTTGATTGAGTGAAGGTGGCGATGAGCGCGTTGATTCCAATCAAATTGGAGGGACAAACGAAAATGTGAATTGATTGACTGCAAGAATATTGGAAACGGGAGAGGAAAGATGATTGCGTCCCGGTAACACGAGGCTTTGTTTAACTTCCTCGTCTGCGATGTTGTTCCCATGCATATTGGCGTGCCCAGGTATTCTGATAAATATTACGTGTGTCTGTTGAGGAAGGGAGTAAGGCGCTCAACGCACACCGTTTATAATTGGATGAGATGAATTACGAAGAGGTCTAGGAGCTTGTAGCAAGGAGTGAGAGTTCATAAAGATGACTGCCCCTTGCGTGAAACCTTGTTTGACGTGGAGTAGGGCCGCCGTGCTTGCTGTTAGTTCAGCCATGTACATTTTATGCTGTAACCTGACAGGCGGTCTGATTTGCGGTAATAATAATTTACGAATGCAGCTATCGCGTATGGAGCCGTCAGTATGTATACAGGCGAGAGCGCCAGGGAGTGGGACTGTCAGACCTCTAAACCGCAGGTGGACCAGGGGTTGAGGCCCAGGCCAGGACAGCGGGAGGGCAGGCGCATGACCTCGCATACCCCCCTGCTCGGTCAGCTCCTCCAGCAGATTTCTGTCCGACATCTCGGTAATCTCTGGGACGCACAAGACCGCCTGGATGGTGTTCAGATGGCCCTGCGATCGTGACTGTCATTGCCCGCTCCAGGAACATGCTTTATTTTAGCAGGTTCTTGGCTTGTTAATCGGCATACACTCTCACCAGGAGGGCTCCTGAGCGGAGGCGGGTTTCGAGGTTTGCCTGGTGGAGCTCGAGCTCCCGACAGGTAGCGAATGGGTTTCCCGTAGGGAAACTTTTCCATCCATGTTTTTTGACGAGCACAAAGTTTCTGGCTGTCGGGGGAGATGCAGGGGAACGAACAAGCTCCTCGCCGGGAGAAATGTGGATGACATCTTTTATTACCTGAACTTATTAAGAATACCTTACTTAACTTAATTTACTTATTTGCAACTAACCTAACTTATTAACAAACTTTTTTAACTTGAGGCTAATAACTCAACGTTATAAGCCTAATTTTTTTTATTTAAAGCTTAACCGTAATTTCAACTTATGCTCATGAACAAGTTATTTGGCGACTTAAGCTTAACCGTGCAGTTCGGGTACCCCTTCAAGCTTTCCTGGGCGCAAAGGCATGGCAAAGGCTTTAGCGGTTTCCTCACCCCGTTAGTCCTTACAACAGCCGGCAGGTGGCAGCGCTTCCTGGCCCGAGACGGGGAGAGGCGGAGCATTAGATATAGCATGTGCACTAAATGCGGAAGATGCTTAAACTTATAGCTCTTTCATAATCCAAAAAGGGATAAAAATGGACTGAAGGTTACCAGGGCAATGTGTGATGTAATTCTAATAAGAACGCCACCATTAGATTAACCCCACGAAGACAAAAATCAACCCAACTGGAGCAAGGTTAGTACCTAACCATCACGAGCAACACCGCCGCGCACGCTCAAACGCCTGTCGTGCCTGTGTTCCATAGTTAATGTTCTATTCAGGGAGTGAGCGCAAACCAGGACTATGGCGCGAGCTGTTGTGTGAAAGATATCTGCATTTTAAGAAGGGCTATTTCCTTGGGCTTGGATTTCGTCACTGTAGCGTCACTTTCGGATGGTACTGAACTGCTGCTGTTATTGGCTGGTTTATTCGTGTTAGTTCTCGTGCTTTCGATACCTTCAAAGCTCCTTCAATTTTTGGCGGGTAGGTGACCGTGAGGGTAAGTCGAAACTTGTCTAGTTTTGTGAACCAAAATTTGCTGTACCTAGGACATAAGCAAGACCGTATGACGTACCTAGTTGTCTTTGGGCAGTTTAGTTATTGGAAGGCACTTGGCTACTAGTATTTAAGGAAACTCAGTAGTTAAAAATTGGCATGCTCAAAATATTGAACAATCGTCACTGTCCTGATAAAGAGTCTATACCTTTCCTAGATGTTTGTTCTACCCTGCGGCCTTCCCTCAAAAGTATTGATTAAACACGGATTACATTGTGGAAGTTTGTGACATATGGTTGCCCTCATATTATGGGGTTTCAGTAGTCCATAGTGCCACAGTTGAGGGAGACCTTAAAAATGAAATACTAATGGGCCATTTTGAAAAAGTTTCCCTCCTTTTCAGTTTTCCCGAATGCTCAAACTAAACTGGGTTTAAAGTATGGTACCAGAATATTTGAATATCAGCAATGTAGACCTTGCACACTGCCTGCTAAACCTCAGATTCAGAAATATGCAGGGTTGACAGGTATGAGAAAAACACTTTGAATTGTACATATATTGTATAAAGAGTGAAATGACATTTCTGGAGGTGTGGAGGCTTCTGGAAGTGGAGTTGTTTCGGGTTGTGCATCTGCTGATATCAATATTGCATGAGTTTTATCCTAGATTCCCTTAACTGAGTCAGCACCAGGAAGTGTGAGGCCTTTGCCAGTGATGCCAATATTTGTCAGTGTGCCATGTTGAATGCATGTGGCCAGTGGAAGCATGTCTGTTTAGTTAAAAGAATGAATATTCCAAGCTGTAATGTGGCCATGTTGTAGCCAAAACTGTTCAGATTGATGTTTAAAGCATCCAGTTATGCATTAGTTTTTTGGGACATTATGAATTTGTCACAGTCAAAAATTGCTCACCATGCAAGCATTCAGGTGGCCTGAGTCTGCATTTTTGCATCATGCACACTCTTGGACAAACTGTGCATGAGATCCATTTCAAACCAGCTGTGTTATATGCATGATTGGTTACATCATCTAGTGTATTTATTGTTAGCACTATTACCTTTGCAATGCCAAGCATGGGTGACACAATCATCCATCCTGGTGTTTAGGAACATCTGTGTGGTTCAGTGCATCACATTAACATTTTGCTTAGCTGAATGTCAAACATATGCATGCCTCTCCTTCAAGTTTCAAGTTTTTGCCATCTCAGGTCATTAATCTATGATTAAGTAAAACAATTATACATGATTTTGAAGTTTACAAAAAATGTCATTTTGTGCTGTGTGTTTGTCTTTATGTGCAACCAATTGCCCTTTTTATGTGCAGGGTGAATAATGCACATTGTCATTGTGCAGGAATAGTCCAAGTACGTTTGATTATTTCAAGCACCAGCTGAGATCAGAATTGCATGAGGTCAAATATTAAGGCTTTGGGGTTTTCATGTGATTTTGTTGCATGATAGTTAACAATCTGATGTGTTGCAGTGTTTTGACTTTGTTATATACCAGTGAACCTATAATCCATTGGGAATTTGGGAGGAGGTAAATGGTGGCATGTTTTAATGCAAACCAAGTTTATACCATGATAATGGTTAATAATCTGAGAAGAATTTGTTGATCACATTGGCAGTTCCATTATATTTTCAAACTTTTGCTTTAGCACATTGATTATGGCATCAGCAGGATATCGTCCACACACCTCTCCACATCTTGTGATGAGAATGATGCATAGAGCCTGTCACATATAGTAAAATATCTTGATGTATGACAGATAATGCTTATGCTGCATAAAGTGATTGATGCAGGCATTCAAAGTTGCAGTCCATTCTACCCAGACATGCACAAGCTGTCAAACTTGGCCTGCATGTATGCTTTGTATGGCAAAATTGTTAAATATGTTGCAATATTAGGATGGACCTGTGGAGTCAATGCTTCAGCTTTTTTGCCCTCTCCCCTCATCTGAACCTCGTCAGTTCAGAGCAAAATGACCATATCTGGTGGGAAGGAAAAGAACCAAATGATATAGAATGAAAATGGTTCTGATCCTTCCAGTGCAAGATACAGAAGAAAATTTGTGCCCATCTCCCAAGCTTTTTCATGTTTTTCACATTGAGTGGGTGAGAAAAAAGCTTTAGAGTAGTACACATGAATGCTTAAGGAATATGGCACACAAAACACGGAGACATTTTCATAGAAGTGATTTTTCCCTGTGGAGCAAAAATATTGTGTTACAATAAGAATAGGCAACTTTTAGGCAACCCAGAAGATCTCAGGTGAGTTGAATTTTGCCTTTTACATGTTTGGGTATTATGATGCAACCAAGAATGTTCCATGATGAAATGCATCACTAAAATGTGTCCAGCTGCTCCATATTAAGGGGTCATGCAAAGAGCAAAAATCGGTGGAATTATTACATCCCAGCAACACAGTCTTGAAAAAAGAATGAAGCCAAAGAAGTCAGCAGAATGTGCCAATGGGTTATACAAATGATTTCTAAAAAAACGGTTTGCTGCAGACCCAAGCCCCAAGCGAACCTGTCAGACACTGCCGCACTGCATATAGTGTTTAAGTGACACATGCTAATGTATCAAGGGCATATAACATTCTGCTTTGTTGCAGCCCAGACATACTGGGGTTTGGGAAATTGCATTCTGCTGTCTAATGGCAGTTGTAAGATGTGAGTCATACCCAAGTAGACATTGGTCCTAGTGTTTTAAGTGTTTGAACAGCACTGGTGCTGATAATATACTCCCAGTCACAGCTTGCCCGCGCCAGCCGCGTGTCTACGCACCGGAAAGCCAATAGTGTGCTCCCCCACCGTGTCAGCAGGCAGGCAGTGGTGTGCAGTGCCGGCGGCCGGACTGGGCTGAAGAGCGGCGCCATCATGGAGACCCTGGTGGCCAACGTGGACGACATGGTGTTCGACATCGAGGTGACGCTGCGGGAGCAGCTGGGCGCCCAGTCGCTGCCATTCGCCGGCATGGACAGTGAGTACTGACTCGGCGGGGTCCTCTCTTTGACGCGAGTACCGACGCGGCCGAGTCCCGCGTGGACAGTGAGTACCGAGTCGCTCGTGTTTATGGCGCGTACAGCGAGTACTGGTCAGCAAAGTCTCGAGGCAGAGGCTCGGCGTAGTCAGTGGTTACCATCTGAACAGTGTTTGGACATTGATGTTGTGCAGTGGATATGGGCGATTAATCTCCAGTGCGTTGCTGCGTTGGGTCATGTGGCACGAGTCGTTTCAGTCCTGGCAGTATTGTATCAACTTTGAACATTGTCTTAATCTAGCGCACTGGTGCATCCTCCGTCCATTCAACCAGACGTGCTTGAAATTAGTGAACAGCCTCTGCTGGTGTTTGGTGCTCAACTGCTCTGTAAGGAGCAGTGCTTTTGCAGCGTCTTTCCCCCAACCTGGCCAGCGTTCCCAACAGCGGGCCCGGTCGCTGCGGCCAGCGCGCCGTGGGTGGGTCCGGCCAGCCGCGGCCCACTCGCTAACACGGCGCCGTCCGCCGCGCCGCCAGAGTCCATGTCGGGAGTGTGCAACTTCTTCGCCAAGGGTCGGTGCACGCGCGGAGACCTGTGCCCGTTCCGACACCTGCGCGGCGACCGCTCCATCGTCTGCAAACACTGGCTGCGCGGACTCTGCAAGAAGGGGGACTCGTGCGAGTTCCTGCACGAGTACGACATGACCAAGATGCCCGAGTGCTACTTCTACGCCAAGTTCAGTGAGTTCAGAGTTCAGAGTTCAGAGTTCAGAGAGTTCAGAGAGTTCAGTGAGTAGTGTCGAGAGTCGTCCCCGCGGTGGGCGCCTCTGCGCTGCGGCGTTGAGAAGGGTTATCGGCGAGGGTGGACTCTTCCGCCTGTAGAATCTCGGTGGGACTCCTGCAAATGCTTATGATAAGTGCTTGTTTGTGGTGCTGATGGACAAATGGCCTTGCGTTGTGGTTTATTAATGTTATTTGTAGCACAGAATGCATCGTAATGAGGGCTTGATTTCATGAGACAGGATTTTTAGCATAAAACAAAGCTTATTGGAATGTGGCACTGTGTGTAGCACCCAGCTGCTCTTCAGTTTTCATTATGGCGTCACAATAATAGGATGTTGATAGTCACAGATCTCTTAGTTCGATTAGTGAGGCTTACAGCTGCGACATTTGTGCCCCTTTCAGTATTTGTTTGATTTTTGTTTAGGAAATGAATGAGTGTTGGTACATTAGACGTACGCCGCGGCCAGTATGATGTTCCCTCCTCCTCTGTGACTGAGCGATGTTGGTGGCACCAGATGTGTGCCACTTATGGCATCATTGAGGCACCCACCGCTTGGCACCACCGTTTCGTATGGCTGATCGGCGCGGTCGCCTTCCAGACGCGTGGCTCTTCTCCCCCCCCCCCCCCCCCCCTCCCGCTTCCCCAGCCGGCGCCACGGAGCCGCGCCGGTCGTCTGACGCCACCACTGACCGGCCCTCTCCGTCGGACGCGTGCCACAAGGAGTGTTCGTTCCCCCCCCCCCCTCCCGCTTCCCCAGCCGGTGCCACGGAGCCGCGCCGGTCGTCTGACCCCACCACTGACCGGCCCTCCCCGCCAGACGCCTGCCACAACAAGGAGTGTCCGTTCCTGCACATTGACCCGGAGACCAAGCAGCGCGACTGCCCGTGGTACGACCGCGGCTTCTGCCGGCACGGGCCGCTCTGCCGCAACCGGCACGTGCGGCGCGTGCTCTGCCTCAGCTATCTGGCCGGCTTCTGCCCGGCCGGCGCCGGCTGCCGCCTCATACAGTGAGTGGCTGTCGACGGCGCGCCGTCCGCTGGTCCGCCGGTGGCTGCGTCGGTGCCAGGGTGGCGGCGGCGGACTTAAGCGGCCCGCACGTCACCGCCGCGGCCAGTGCACCTGCTCGGGTCCGCTATTGTCGTGGGGTTTCCGTAGAGGGTGGTCTTGTTCCATAGTAGGGTTTCCGTAGAGGGTGGTCTTGTTCCGTAGGGTTTGTGGGGTTTGTGCTAGGTTCGCCTGTCTGCATGCCTTCGGTGGACCTGGACCCTCGGTATCAGCCTTTAACGATCTGTCGGTGGCGATGTATGTATAGGATGACCTCATAAAGTCGGGACGTATCGTTCGATCTCACAGTCGTTTTGGGAGCCGTCGCTCCTGGCTCGGCCTCTGAGAAAGTTTGTTTCGGAGAATGTACGAGGGTGCCACCATTGAGCGATTCTCTACCATCATTGTCCCTGCCCAATGCTACCGTCCCCGGCAGTGATCTTTCCCCCCGTCCTTTTATGGCATGCAGGACGACGCGCGTTGGTCGGCGGCGTCACGCTCTCATCTCCCGTTCGCCATCCCTTGCCTCCTTACGCAGGCACGTGCATTGCTTTTGTTGGAGTGTCGCACGTCGCGCCTCGAGAACAATCCCAATCCCACCGCAATCGCAATCCCTCAATCCCATCTCGTGCGACCGAGCATTGTTGCGTCTTCGTAGCTCCGCTGATGCACAGCCGGAATGTCTATGGCGGACGGTGTCGGCGGGCCCCTTACCGTCTCGTGTTTGCTGGAGGCGCCGGCGGACCCGACCCGCCGTCACGTGACCCGGCCCAACTCGCCGACAGCTCGCCAGCTCACGTGACCCGGCTGCTGCTGCTCGTAGCCCGTGGCCCGCCGTCAAGTGACCTGGTCCGCTGCTGCACGTGGCCCGTTGTCCGCTATCACACGTGATTCGGTCCGCCGCTGTACGTTGCGTGTGGCCCGCCGTCACGTGACCCGATCCGCTGCTGCATGTGACCCGTATCCCGCCGTCACGTGACCCGGTCCGCTGCTCAATGTGACCCGTGACCCGGTCCGCTGCCGCCCCCGCCTCGCCCGGGGCTCACGGGGCCTGCTGACGCTGCCGTTCTGTGCGCAGTCCGCGGTTCGAGCTGCCGCAGAGCACCGAGGAGGGCAAGCCCGGCTCCAAGGGCAAGTCCAACATCACCTGCCACTACTGCGGCGAGGTGGGCCACAAGGTCGTCAACTGCTTCAAAATGTCGCCCGACAAGCGGGAGGCGCAGTTGCGCCAGGCCTCGGAGAAGTATGAGGTCAGTCACGTGGCCCGCGCCGGGGGCAGGTCACTGGAGGCTACCGGCTTGGGCGTCGTGAGTGTAACGTTGAGGTCCTGGGTTCGAAGCTCATCGCGGACAACTTTCTTTGGTCGTGCTTTACCAATGTCTCGTATAGCAATGGCCGGCGACATAACTTGCAGTCTGCGTGGCTCGGCATGCAGTGACGGCAGGGCCGCCCGCTAGCTATGGGTGCCTCTGCATCGACTCTACCTGACCTGACCTTACCTAACCTGTGCCCGGCGGCAGGCGGCGGCCGCCCGGTACATCGGCGGTGGCTCGCACGGTCGCCACGACACGGACCGCATCACGTGTTACAAGGTGAGGGTGCGCGGCGGGGGCCCGGCCTGTCAGGGCGGTGGCCGCCGACACTGTCAGCACGAGCGGCTCAGCCAGCTGCGTGAGAGCGCATAAACTGGTACCAATATCCAACCATTTGCAGGTCTGTTTGTGGGCTGTTTGCAATTGATTTTTTTTTCGTGGCGATGTCCCATGTTAATTTTTGACGCATACTGGATGAAAAGAGCCGGATTCTCACGGCTGGCTACGTTTCGTAATTTAGCGCGTCTTGTGAAAAGTGGCGCCTCACTCGTGTTTTAAGAAGCTTAAGTACGCTGTGGCGCCGTTTTGTCACATGCCTTGCATGCATGCCACCAAAGATCAAGTTTTACCGACATTTCGAGCATATCAAATACGTACGTGTCTATGTGATACGCGCACAAATGCTGGGAGCCACCGCCAAGCGTCGGGACAGTCGTTTAATATAAAATTATATATATGTAAATACATATAATATAAAAATAATAAAGAATTTAATATAATAATAAAAACTTCGCCGTAGCCACGTCGTTTAATCCCGCCACATCTCGCCGCCGTCTGCGGGCGGCCAGTGTTCTGGTCCGAGCCCGCTGTGACCGACTGTGGGCCGCGGTGTGTTCACAGTGCGGCGAGAAGGGCCACTTCGCCAACCGCTGCACGCACGGCGCCTACTCGTTCCTCAGCTCGGCGCCGCCGGCGCCCGCCCAGGCGCCGGGCGCCACGTGAGCCGGACACGCGGCGGCAGGGCCGGGCACGTGGCGCTGGCGCCACCGGCAGTTGGCCCGGCGTCGCCTGCGTCGTCCGAGGCCACCCGGCCGGCGGCGTCCACCGCCAACGCGTGCGCGAGACTGGAGGCCGTGGGGTCTCGCGGTCGCACAGCCCCGCGCTGCGATCGGTGCGCTCGTGGAGAGGGAGGCCGCGGAAGACGGCGCCGCCTGTCGTCTCTCCCCCGGTGCACTGGTGATGATGATGATGATGATGACTGATATTGGACCCGGGCGGGCGCATGGAACAGGGGACAGTAGAGGACTGCGCCACCGGGTGGTCTGGACGGTGCTCGCCTGTGAGACGCGTCTGCACGGTGACTGCGGTAGCCCCGCCCCGTGTTATGTTCCAGGGGAAGCTCGTCGAGTGTCTGTCGCATGTCACGTGCAACCACCATGTGTTTCAATTGTATATTTTGTACAATACAGCCTAGGTACGCTCGAAGTTTGAATTATGGCTTTATATAGGAGAAATGAGGACGACATGACAATCAGTGCGAAATGAGTCAAAGCATACGTACAAAAGTGTCCATGGGGCGACATAACCAAGCTCGGCCGCTGCGGTGGGCGCCCTCGCGACGAACGGCCCTCCACGCGCCGGCCGTGCCCCGGCTCGTCGCCGCGCTAAACCTCCAGCTACCGTGTCGCCGCCCGTCTAAATCAATCAGAACATGATACTGAACGCGACCGCAGCTGCGACCAAATAGCACTAAAAACACTGTAAATGCCAGCGGCGGCGGGGGCGACCCGCTCCCGGCGGCCGTCGGGGCGTGGCCGGCCGCCGGCCGCTGGCGGTGGGAGCCCGCGGCCGCCCCGCGCGCGCGCGCCATCACACGCTGGTCCGCCGGCGGCGCCGGCACGCCGCCGTCGCAAAAATACCGGCCCCCGACGCCGCACGCGCGCCATTCGCTCACAGCTCGGCGGCGGCCGCCGCGCGCCCGACCGCGCCCTGCGGACGGTCCATCACACCTTCTTGAAGCTGGCCATGAAGCGGGCCTGGGCCGGCGCCACGCGCGCGCGCAGCTTTTGCACGAGGTTCTCGATTTTGAGGCTGGGCCCGACCTTCCAGCACGCCAGCTCCAGCACCTGATGCTTGGTGAGGTCGAGCAGGCGGGCGCCGTCGACGCCCGCCTGCTGGAAGCTGTCGCAGTAGGCGGCGCACTCGTTGACGCGCAGGAAACTGGCCGACATCGGCCACGGACCAGGCGGCCGGGTCCAGCTGCCCGGCCGCCGGCGCCGCCGCGCCCGGCCCCGACGCCGCGTCCACGAGGCGCGGAATGAGCGCAGTCGGCGGCGCGTCCGCGTCAGCCGCCGGCGTCGGCGCCGGCGCCGGAGCCAGCGCCGGCGCCAGCTGCTCCGGCTGCTGCTGCTGCGGGGGTGGCTGCGCCGGCGCCGGCGCCGGCGGTGGCGGCGGCGGCGACAACTCCGGCACCAGCGCCGCCAGCGACTCGTCAGCGGCGGCGGCGGCGGCGGGACGCCGGCCGGGCGGCCGCGGCCGACGGCCCACCATCTTGCGTCCGGCGCGGCGGCGTCCGGCGCGCCGGCCGGCCGGCCGCTCGCCAGCGCGCGGCGGCTCCAGCTTGTAGCCAACCAGCCGGCACCAGCCAACCGGGAAGATGTCAGGACTGGCGGCGTCCACCCACTGGTCGAACTGCTCCTCCCAGCCGGTAAAGTGCACGCGCAGCAGGCGTCCGACCACGGCCGCCACCGTCGCGACACACACCAGCTGCGGGTCCATCAGATCCACCGCCTCCAGCCGCTGGCCCGGCTGAAAGCCGTGCGAGAGCGGCGGCCGCTGGAACAGATGCGGCGGCGCCGGCTGAGCGCCCGGCTCGGCCGCCAGGTACGCCTCCCAGGTGAACGTGTCGGCCGTGTAGCCGTGCGGCGGCGTCAGCGGCACGCCCACCGTCCGGCAGAAGCGCGGCGGGAAGATGTACGGCGAGCTGACGTGGTAGCAGAACCAGTCGCCGCCCGGCTGGCCCGGCTCGGTCGGCAGCGTCTCCAGCCGCACCATCAGGTAGCCGCCGCCCAGCACCTGCTTGACGGTGGCGACGCCGATGCTGCTCAGGTTGAGCGGGTCCAGCGCCTCCAGCTTCATGCCCACCTGGTGACGGGAGAGCCGCCAGGGCGGATGTCAGCCGCCGCGTCCGCACGGGCCGCTGCAGCCAAGGGGTGGAGCACAGCTGATGGACACTCGGCACAGCTGGCAGACACAGCCAACAGACACCCACCATAGCGGCAGACACAGCTGATGGACACCCACCACAGCGGCAGACACAGCTGATGGACACCCATTACAGCGACATACACAGCCAACAGACACCCAGCACAGTTGGCAGACAGCCAACAGACAGTGGCAGATACAGCCTGCAGACACGCAGCACAGTGGCAGACACAGCCAACAGACACCCAGCATAGCAGCAGACAAGCCTTCAGACTCCCAACACGGCGGCAGACAGTCTGCAGACACCAAGCACGGCGGCAGACACAGCCTGCAGACAACCAGCACAACAGCAGACAGTCTACACACACCCAGCACGGCGACAGACAGCCAACAGACACCTAGCACGGCAGCAGACAGTCTGCAGAGACCCAGTAGAGCGGCAGACATAGCCTGCAGGCACCCAGCACAGTGGCAGACACAGCCACAGACCTACAGTCAACAGACACAGGACACGGCAGCGGACACACAGCCGCCCGCAAGGGGCGTCAGACATGTTATATCAGCACCGGCGACGTCTACACAGAAACACTTCGGCACCCGAGAGGGCTCCGGCGGCGGCGGCCGCCGCGGCAGCACCGAAACGGCCGCGACGAGCAGCCGCGTCACGAGCAGCCGCGTCACGAGAAGCTCCATCACGAGCACCCACGTCACGAGCCACAGCATCACACCAGAGCCGTCACGATGATGGCATTTTGATTTTCGAGCGCGTCGATTGCGGCGGTCATTTAACGCTCACTCACGGGCGTCATTTAACGCTCACTCACGGGCGTCAAATGACCGCTGCAGTCACTCGCTCACACATCTCTCATGTATTCAGCACGCGCGAGTGCTGCACGCGAAACGCGCTGATTCACCAGGCCTGAGTTTGCCACATGAGAACTCGCGCCATACAGCATTAAACGGGTGAATAGATCATCTATAAATTTGGTTTTTCCGTTTGGTTCAAAGTCCATTTGGTTCATGAAATCTACAACCACCTTGGCTGAACAGGTCAGATTCTCGCAAACGGGAGATCATAGAGACTGGCTCGCAAAGCGTAGGAGCCAGAGCAGTGCCTGTGTTCAGCTTCTACGTGCCGACACTGAACGAGAACACAGACAGTTGACAGTCAGTGATCACAGCGACGGAGCAGAGCCGCACTCCACTCTGGCGGCTCTGAACCAGCAGAGCCGCCCGCACTCTGGCGGCTCTGAACCTACAGAGCCGTCCGCACTCCACTCTGGCGGTTCTGAACCAGCAGAGCCGCCCGCACTCTGGCGGCTCTGAACCTACAGAGCCGTCCGCACTCCACTCTGGCGGCTCTGAACCAGCAGAGACGCCCGCACTCTGGCGGCTCTGAACCTGCAGAGACGCCCGCACTCCATTCTGGCGGTTCTGAACCAGCAGAGACGCCCGCACTCCGGCGGCTCTGAACCAGCAGAGACGCCCGCACTCTGGCGGCTCTGAACCAGCAGAGCCGCCCGCACTCTGGCGGCTCTGAACCTGCAGAGATGCCCGCACTCTGGCGGCTCTGAACCAGCAGAGCTGCCCGCACTCCGGCGGCTCTGAACCAGCAGAGACGCCCGCACTCTGGCGGCTCTGAACCTGCAGAGACGCCCGCACTCTGGCGGTTCTGAACCAGCAGAGCCGCCCGCACTCTGGCGGCTCTGAACCAGCAGAGACGCCCGCACTCTGGCGGCTCTGAACCTACAGAGCCGTCCGCACTCCACTCTGGCGGCTCTGAACCAGCAGAGACGCCCGCACTCTGGCGGCTCTGAACCTGCAGAGACGCCCGCACTCCATTCTGGCGGTTCTGAACCAGCAGAGCCGCCCGCACTCCGGCGGCTCTGAACCAGCAGAGACGCCCGCACTCTGGCGGCTCTGAACCAGCAGAGCCGCCCGCACTCTGGCGGCTCTGAACCTGCAGAGATGCCCGCACTCTGGCGGCTCTGAACCAGCAGAGCTGCCCGCACTCCGGCGGCTCTGAACCAGCAGAGACGCCCGCACTCTGGCGGCTCTGAACCTGCAGAGACGCCCGCACTCTGGCGGTTCTGAACCAGCAGAGCCGCCCGCACTCTGGCGGCTCTGAACCAGCAGAGACGCCCGCACTCTGGCGGCTCTGAACCTGCAGAGACGCCCGCACTCTGGCGGCTCTGAACCAGCAGAGACGCCCGCACTCTGGCGGCTCTGAACCAGCAGAGCCGCCCGCACTCTGGCGGCTCTGAACCTGCAGAGACGCCCGCACTCTGGCGGCTCTGAACCTACAGAGATGCCCACACTCTGGCGGCTCTGAACTAGCAGAGCTGCCCGCACTCCACTCTGGCGGTTCTGAACCTGCAGAACCGCCCGCACTCGGGCGACCCTAAACCTTCCGAGTCACCCACACTCTGGCGGCTCTGAACCTGCAGAGCCGCCTGCACTCTGGGCGGCTCTGCAGGTCCGGCCCTGGTTAACAGTGGTGGGTTCACCAGGAAAAACTACAGCGTACGCCATTCTACACTTTGCACATCGCAAGCCACCGATGAATGCCAAGCGTCGGTGAAACCAAGTAGCCCATCCCATCTGGCAACTCCAAAGTCTCCTACGTCACAGTTTTCGCCGTGCCGCCGGCGGCAGCGCAGGCGGCGGCCGGGCGAGGCTGGCTGAAGACTGACCGTGAAGCCCTGCTGCGGGGCGGCCGGCAGCGGCGGCTGCCAGTCCTCGGTGACGTCGGTGGCCAGGTACTTGCCCGTCTGACAGCGCTCCAGGTAGTCGGCCGGCGCCGCGATCTGGTGACCGA